AGGAGGAGGAGGAGGAGGAGAGGCCTGCAGTTGAGGAGGCTGCATGTGTGGACTGCTGCTGGCGAGGAGTGACTCACACAACGTAGCTGAACACTCAGAAACATGTCGGCCCAGGCACAGATGCGAGCGATGCTGGACCAGCTCATGGGGACCGGGAGAGACGGTGAGCGCGGCGGGCTGCGGTCGGGGCTCGAACCGGGGACACATGTGTTTGTGTTGTTGCTAGCGTTAGCCGGGAAGCTAACAGTGACAGTGAAGCACGCTGTTACAAACCGAGCTAGCCACCATGAGGGCAGCCAGCCGGCTAGCTACCTGTTGTGTCTGAGTTTACAAGTTGTTGCGAACATAGGCGAGCTACATTTTGAGCGTTAAACTTGGTGAGCTGTTTTCTTTGTGGCCGTGTTTGTTGTCACGCTGTCGGACTGTATCCGAGGAGCTAACTTTAGGTTTCACTGCTCACCGATGGGAGACCTCAGTGGTTGTGTGCGGGTCGAGCTGTGTTTTCACCGAGGACTGGCTGACATAAAGTGTGTGTTTCTGTTTTTTTAAGGAGACTCCATGAGGCAGAGGATCAAATTCACAGATGAGCGAGTCTGCAAAAGTCACCTCTTGGATTCATGTCCTCATGACATCTTGTCTGGCACCGTGAGTATCATGTTTGTGCACACACACACACACACACCTCTATACACGGATAGCATATGTCACATACAATGCAGTCAGAAAGTAAATGGACGTGTTGTGTATTGATGTTAGGTCTAGTCCAGCACAGAGGACTTAAAATAATATAATGACTTTAAGCTTGAGGTGCTGACTTACAGCTTTTAGGGTGAACTGCACACAGTTATATTGTGTGAGCAGTTCATAGTCTTCTGATTTCAGCAGCATGTCAGTGTAAACAGACTACCAAGAGGCTTCCTGTCTGAGCCCCATTCAAATGTTTCACTGTCTTAGCATCAAACAAAACCCCCAGAAACGAGAAGGGAAGATAGCCTGACGTAGCATCACAAGGAAGGGAACTGTCAGCTGATGTTTGGGTAACGGACTTCAGCCACATTTTGCCTGTAAACAGTTGAATGCAGCTTTTAACTGCTCCTATTACTTCATGTAAACTGGGAGGCTGTAAATTGAAGAGGCTGCAGTTGAACACAGTTCATCCAGTGTGAAAGTAAACACCCCCAAATGATAGCTGAGATTCAGCACTTTAACCTCAAAGTCATTGTTT